TTCCCTGCAGCTGACATGGACCAGCCTTACTGCTCTAGCCTTAGAAAATGGCAAGAAAGCAGGGCCAGGCCACTGTCAGCCCCTCTCACCGCTCCCACTCAAGGGGTTCAGTGTGGCAGGGGGCAGAAGATATTGCCCCAAGAGGCTTTGCCCCAACAAGTGAGAAACAGAGAAAAACCCAGGGCCCAGAAGTGCTATTAAATAAGCCCCCTCAAGGATAGGGACAGAAGCACGTTGGGAGAGAGCAACTGCTCCACACGCTGGCCTGGCTCCAGGCTTGTGGGTGCCTTCTTTCCAACGCTCGTCTCCAATCAGCTTTGTCCTGAACAAGCAGTTCCAGGGAAGGCCTCTATTGTGTCCCAGAAGCACATAGGAAAATGTGAGCAAAGGCTACAGCAAGGCACCATTGGGAATTGAATGCAGGATCCCCTGCTTACAAGGCGGATGCTTTAGCCAACTAAGCCATGATGTAAAGCTGTTCTATTTTATGGTTCCAGACAACACCTTTAAATCCCAAAGTGCAGCCATTCCCCTCCAGCCCTGGCAGTGCCTGGCTCCTTGGGCACAGAAAGCTACAGCTAAGTGGGCAGAGGCTCTAACATGCACATCTCCCCCAGTCACTGGGACTGTAGAGTGGCTAGTGCTCTGTGTATCATATGCAGCTATCTTGGCTTAACGCTGAGCCATGGGATCCTTCCTATCTGTTCCTGACTTATCATTTACCACATGCTCAGACTCAGCCACAAGGAAGGATTTCTCTGCCTTCAACAATCACTGACAGGCTCAAAATAAACAAAAGCAAGTTTTTCTTCACTCAGTGCACAGTCAACCTGTGGAACTCCTTGCCAGAGGATGTGGAGAAGACCAGGACTTTAATAAGACTCAAAAGAGAGCTAGATAGATTCATGGAGTTCATTAATGGCTATTAGCCAGAATGGGTGGCAATGGTGTCCCTAGCCTCTGTTTGCCTGAAAATGGGTGACAGGAAAGATCACATAAGGATTGCTTGTTGTATTCCCTCCCTCTGGGACATCTGGCATTGGCTAGTGTTGGCAGACAGGACACTGGACTTTTGGTCTGTCCCAGTATAGATAAAAGTCTATGAATCATGGCTGGTGTGGAGAAAATAAGTAAGGAAAGGTATTTACTTGTTCCCATAATACAAGAACTAGGAGACACCCAGTGATATTAATAGGTAGCAGCTTTAAAACAAACAAAGAAGAAGTATTTGTTCATACAGTGCACAACCTGTGGAACTCCTTGCCAGAGGATGTTGTGAACACCAGGGCTGCGTCTAGACTGGCGCTCTCTTGCGCACATACTTTTAACGCAAGAGTTCTTGCTTTAAAGTATTTGCGCAAGAGAGCGTCTACACTGATATGTGCCTTTGCTTTTGCGCAACAGCATCCCGTGCCAGTGTAGATGCTCTCTTGTGCAAGAAAGCTCCAGTGGCCATTTTCGCCATCGGGGCTTTCTTGTGCAAGAAATTCCTGTCCCTGTCTACACTGCCCTCTTGTGCAAGAACACTTGCTCAAGAGGGCTTTTTCCCGAGCAGGAGCATCAGAGTTCTTGCGCAAGAACACTGACGATCTTACATTAGATCGTCAGTGTTCTTGCTCAAGAACTCGCGGCCAGTTTAGACAGCTGGCACGATTTTGCGCAAAATCTGGCCAATGTAGACAAAGCCCAGGACGAAAAGTGTTAACACTAATTGCAATGTTGGTAATTATTGTGAGAATACAGAGAAGAAAGCCTGTGCTTAACCTGTCTCAAAAGGTGTTGCTGCACTGGGGGAAGAGTGGTCCTAGGTTCCATGCCCGCCTGCTCCCCAAGGGACAGTCCTGGCTGTAGGGTCAGCACTAGGTTAATGTGAGCTGCCTCATGTCACTCTAACTCAGGAGTGTAAACCAAGCCCCACAACCCAAACTGCAGAGACCTGTTCCCTGCCATACCTTCCTAATGGATGGGGGTTTACAATGTTCCCTCTAATTTTTTCCAGCCATCCATGGAATAATTTTAATGTGCATTGAGGCATGTGCAGATGTGCACCACTAATATAAAAATATGCTTCCAGCTGTGGGCAGATGTGTGTGCTCTGCTAATCAATTGGGTGGCATTTGAATCTCTCCAGGGGGAGGGGGGAGCACCTAGCTTACAGTGAACACTGCCAGCACCTTGCTGCCCTTGGTAATACAGCATTGTCCTGGGCTCCTTGATGTCTGCGTCAATAGCAGGGCCAGGGACCCAGCACATCCCAGGTAGTGGCTGGGTGTGGGTGAAAAATTCCCTTGGATTTTGCCCTTTTCTCTTGGATAACCCATTATCCACCCAACCCCATGGATCCCAGCCCCCTCCCCCCAATGAATAAATTAGATGTAAACCCCCCTTCAGATTGGTTTCTCCCTCAGTGCTGGGGACTGATAGAAAATCTCCTCGGATTGTGACACTTTCTGTCTAAACCCCAAATACTGGTGGAAAAGCCTCCCCAGCTGTGGGTTCCCCAGTCAGTTCTTGTCTGCAGTCTTAATGAGTTCTGAGGAGGAAACTTTGTCAGTCATCGCCTGAGTGCAGGGGAGGGAAGCTTGTCCCCCAAAGGACCAACTTTCCCCTCATGGCTGAGAATAGATAAGTTCCCCCTTTACAGTTCATTCACCATTGACTCTGAGGTCACATCTCCAGTTTGTTTTTGTCCCATGGTCATTGTCAGTTACTGAGAAAAAATCCTCTAGGTTTGGTTTGGGTTTTTTTTTGGGGGGGGGGGTTTGGTCACATCTTTTAAATTTGGCAGTCTCCTTTCCTGGAGGGATGCTGTTGCCCTGCATCATTTTCCTTTGGGGGGGAGGGGGAGGAGGGCCTGAAGGGAAGAAGAATTAACCTCCCCAATTGTCCCCTCATGTTTCAAAATTAAATTATATTCCCCTTTATACCCAATAAAAGTGACATGTTGCAGAGGAATGTGACTTGCCCAGCAGTTAATGAACATCAGAGCCAGGAGCCAGTTTGGGGACTGGTGTCTCCCAGCAGCTAAGGCAGGGCTGGCCAGCCCCCGACAGGCTGTTTCACTGCCCCAGATGGGGTAGAGAATAAGGGTGATAGGGGGCCACCCCCACCCCAAGGAGCTGTCTGTTCTCTCCTTCACTGGCCCATTAAGGGGGGACATGATAGCGGTTTTCAAATATCTAAAAGGGTGTCACAAGGAGGAAGGAGAAAATTTGTTCCTCTTGGTTTCTGAGGACAGGACAAGGAGTAATGGGCTTAAAGTGCAGCAGGGGAGGTTTAGATTGGACATTAGGAAAAAATTCCTAACTGTCAGAGTGGTCAAATATTGGAATAAATTGCCAAGGGAGGTGGTGGAATCTCCCTCTCTGGAGATATTTAAGAACAGGTTAGACAGACATCTGTCAGGGATGGTGTAGACAGAGCTTGGTCCTGCCTTGAGGGAAGGGGGCTGGACTCAATGACCTCTCGAGGTCCCTTCCAGTCCTATGATTCTATGAACAGTAGCATCGCTGTGATTGGATGCAGGGGGAGCGCACGGCTCTCACGGTTAATGTTGTGAGCAACCAGCATGCACCTCACTTCACGGGCCCTGACTTTTCGTTTATCTCACTTTAGTAATATTGGTAGGAAAAAAACCTATGATGACGGAAACCGGTAGACTCTGGCTACCCTTGTGTGTGGACAACGGCAAACAAACTATCTGGCGGGCCACACAGTGAAACCCCCAATGGGCTGTAGGTTGCCCACCACTGCCCTAGAGCATCTGGGTTTTTTAAGGAACATAAAAAAAAATGAAGATACTAAACCAAAAATGTAATCAATAAACACATTTTCACATGTATCGCTGGGCCGTTTGCTGAGACCTCCAGGTCCCCAGGAGAGTCGCTGCTGTTAATGCTGGTGCGTATTTCTGCTGGCAGCTCAGACTCCTATTCGGTATTTTTCCCCAGAGCTCTGTGCTGTGTCTGTCTGGGGCTCGTTGCTTTTCCATGGATTAGTCTCCTCCAGCCCCTGTTCTGCCCTTCAGTTACTGATAGCACCTCATTGGGATTGCTAGGAAAAAAAGCTGCCTGCCAGCCCTGGGCAAAGGGCTGGATCCGGAAGTGGAATCGTGCCAGGGAGGCTGGTGAGGGGAAAATTGGGAGGGTAGCATGCCCTGCATGCTCTTGCATCTTGCCCAGACCTCCACCCCCAGCCAGCTCCTGCACTCTCTTTCATGCCCAGACCCCCAAACCCAGCCATTTCCTGCACCCAACCTCCTGCCCCCCCTCCCTGGCAGCCCCCTCCTGCAAACTGAAACCCTCATTTTTGTCCCTATCCCAACATCCTGGGGTCCCTCACAAATTAACTTTGGGTCCCCAGAAGAGTTGAGCTTGCTCTGGGGGTGAGCCATGGAGCTTTGGTGCCTCCCCACCCACTTGTGGCTTATGGGGAGTGTCCTTTCTTTCCTGTTGCTCAGTTGGTCAGTGAGGTTTATTACTTTTTTTCTTTTTGCTTCTCACTTGTGTGTGGCTCCTAATGGATTTTTTTGTGGATCAGTGGTCCCTGACCCAAAATGTTCCTTACCCCCTACTCTCAGTGATCCTCTTGACCACTGAAACTGTGTTGCAGAGAAGGTTCATAAAGTCTCTTTTCATTTCATCTTCATGAGAGATCTGAGGTCTGTGCTATCAATAAATGGAGGAAGACTGGGACCTTTAGCTATAAGAGCCTAAATTTAGACACTTATATTTATATTCAGGCATCCGAATATGTACCTTGTTTATCAGAAATGCTGGGTACTTAGAACCAAATCCCATTAATTGCAGGTGCAGTAATGTTGAAACTCAAGCTAGGTATTGAGCAAAATGAATATAGATGTGGAACTTGTGTGCGCGGGTTATAGAACATCGAGACTCAAGCATTGACCCAAAATGGCAGAGTCTAGCTTGTTTATCACCAGGAGCAGAGTCTGGGGAGAATGGGGGTTTGGAAAGGGTTAAAGCCCCTTCTGAAATGTCTCCAATTGCCCTTCTACCCCGACAGGCTGCAGAACACCCATGTCTTGCTCCCGCTTAGCCCGTGGCCTACAGAGCCAGGGCAAGGAAATGGCAGTGGCAGAGCTGGTGAGCTTCGAGGAGGTGGCTGTGTATTTCTCTGAGGAGGAATGGGCTCTTCTGGACCCGGGTCAGAGAGCCCTCTACTGGGATGTGATGCAGGAGAATTATGAGGCTGTGAGCTGGCTGGGTAAGGATTCCTGTCCCCTCGGGTATCAGAAGCTGGGTGTGTTCTGGAGCAACTGGGTTGGGTTTGGTTTGGTTCAGGGGCCCTCCTTACTCCTGACATTGGGGGCAAAGAGCATCAACCCCAATAATCCTGGCTTGTATATGAGAGATTGTCCCCTCTACACCCTTCCCAGGAGAGCAGGTTCAGAGACATAACAATGGTACTGCTCTTCCTACAGCCAAGGTCTCAATGTGCTTCCCCACCATCTTGCCCGTGTTGTGCCCTGGCCGGAGGTGTCAGTGAAAGGCCTGGGCAAGAACAGCATGTACCAGAGTTGTGGGGCTGGGTGTAGCTGCTGTTAATGCCTGCAGGGTCCCCCAGTGTGCTGAGCCCTTGGAAAGCGAGTGTGGTTCCTGGAGTCCTTTGCCTCTGGCTGATCTGTGAAATGCTGGATCCTGCCAGTGAGAGGGGCTGGGGCTGAGGGAGGGTGGATGAGGCAGTTGACACTCTGCAAATGTTCTGTGGAGGGTAGCTTTGCAGTAGGTAAACATGTGTAGAGCTCTTCTTACATGTCAGGCACGGGCTGGGTTTCCTTTAAAAAAAAATCCAGCTTTATTCTCTCTGAGGCTCACTTGCCTTTGTGTGCAAACGAGGTAATCACACCATCTGTCTTGTCTTTTTAGAGTGAAGTATCTTTGGGCAGGGACTTTTTCTTCCTATGAGAGTATATGGCTCATTGGAACTCAGGAGACCTTCATTCAATCAATTCCTTGCCCTGTTACAGACTTCCTGTGTGACCTTGGTCAAGTCTCTTAGAGTGTCTGTGTCCAGTCCCCTGTCTCTGCAATAGCTATTACAGTATGTCCCTGTTTTACAGGGCTGGGGAAGGATAAATACATTTAATTGGGGAGATGCTTAGTTCCATACAAGCACCCCGATAGCACAGTGGGGTCCTGATTGACACCGAGGATGCCAGGTGCTGCTGTGACTGATAAGCTTCGCTTCCCATAGGGGCTGCAGTGCCATATGAATTGCTGCTAGTGCCACAGAGTGTTGTTATGGCTGCTCAGAGCGGCTCTTTCTGGAGCACTGATGCCAGCTGCACTGGCAGACCATGAGGCTTGCCCATGCAGCACAGCTCAGGCTCATTGCCAAAGAAAGACACAGGCTCCATTCAAGGGCTAAGGCACTTGGCCAGATTTATTGGCAGAGGAGCAGGGTGCTAGTGTCAGCTCCCCAGGCACAGGTACAGTAAGATGTGACCAGCCAGCAGAACACGGCCCCTCAGTCAGCACTGACATGCCTCTCCCGGGACGTCCACTTCCACACATTGACGCAAACAAGGTGCACATTGCACTCCGTGTGTGCTACTCCCCTTAGCTTTATACCTGCTCATTGGAACAAAATGTCCGTATACATTATCCCCTCATCCCCCTGATGTGCACAAGGGTCCATGTGTTGCTCTGCCATCTCTTAGGAGTGTGTGTCTGCAGTTGCTGCAGCCATTAGTGTCCTGTGTAGCCTCTTTCCCCATCTGCAATGTGCTGAAGTAGTTGGCTGGTACTTAGTGCGCTACCATTCTGCCAAGGCCCAGCCCGTTCTGGTTATCAGCCATTGGTTAATGCTGTTATGCCAAGGGCCTCCCTTCCCCTCCTTGTGATTTTATGGGAGGGTGATAACTCATCCCAGAAAAGCAGAATGTTTAAACTGAAATTATGCACTGGGTTAAACACTGCTTCTTGGCTATTTTGCTTTACCCCTCCAGACATTCATGCCTCATGTGTCCAGTGGTCTCCACATTCTCATGTTCCAGAATCTCTATGGATACTAATTCCATGCGCTAACAATAAGACTACAGGCAGTCCCCGAGTTACGCGGATCCGACTTATGTCGGATCTGCAGTTACGAACGGGGTTCCTCTCCCTGGTCTCCAGCAGACCAGGGAGAGGAAGCAAAGTGGCGGAACACGTGGGCAGCGGACAGGGCTGTCCGCTGCCCACGCGCTCCGAGGCTTGGCTCTGCTTTGCCCCCCCCCTTCCCCCTGGTCTGCAGA